ACGGGAATCGTGTTTTCACAACTTACCCCGCCCTACTCAACCTGCTCCCCAGGTTCCTCCCCGAATTGGCCATAGGTAATGAAATTACTCTTCAGTAATCCTAATTCAAGGGGAAAGTTGGAGGGGGTAGTGTAGGGGACGTAGAAAGGGAACACATGAATTGCTAAGCCACTGTTTCTGACAGACCGAGAGCCGTTAATACATAGAAGACTAAGGAAAGAGACAACTCAAAGTTCGAATCGGGTAACTATATGGGGGTGTCCTACAATTAGCGGTACCTTTTTGGGGTNNGGGGTCCCCATAATAAGGTCTATAATATACTGGGGTCTATATTGGCGTATGCTAATTTAGGGAAACTACTATATACACTTCGCCATTCCCCTACCCCAAGCGCTTAAAGCCTTGAACCCTACATACTATAGACAGCAGCTCACTTGAGGCCACGACCCTCGCCAGTAGCCTCTTCGCCAGAGACCGACTATGTACACGCCGCCTGCATGGCTGAATGTAAACAAGAGCTCAACCGGCGAGTTTGTGCCAGCCACTTTTCTCAAATGGACGCTGAGGTTTTGTCTGAAAACAATGCAGTGAATCCATTCAAGCACGTGCTGTGGTACACTTCATGACATCCAAAGTACCTTCGACAAACCAAAGTGACATCTTTTGGCTACAGAACCGCATCCCCCTTAATAATGGAGAATCAAATGGAAAAGAAAAGGGAAAATGAAATGGAAACTGGGAGTATGTAGGGGATTATACGGGATTATAGTCTAAACTCCTTTGGTTGCCTCAGTTTTTTCTGTTTTGGGGGCTGGCCTGCATGTCCTTCCAGCCCCGAGCTCTGAACGGTAGACCCTGACCCCAAGCCCTTAGCCCCTTAGTTTCTCCTCCAGCAAGTAACCCGCCCTGAACAAATCCAGCGGCACCTGTCTGACTTTGGCCTTAGACCAGACTCTGGGTTGCTCAGCACAGAGAAGTATCCCCAAGGCTTCTACGATGTGTACGCGGACTATCACAGACTTGCAGGGGCCCCTTCAAGTACTAAAGAATGATATTTTGAGAAACTCTGATCTCAGAACTTTAGATCACAACGCCACCAAATTCAATCCGGTACCTAAACGCTCCTGTGACTGCCGCACCTTTCGAAGCTCCCATCACCACATGCGGCCGAAACCTTGAGGCGGAGAGTTGAAGCCGTTGAGATCTACGTACACAAGTCTCAAATTGCGGGTATCTGGGTTGGCCCCTAAAACCCTTTGAAAAACATTAGTATATAGGGTCCCTTATTAAAGCCATTAGGGAAAACATTAAATATCCCAGGGGCCTACTCAGGTATTGGTTTTTTGGGAAGCTTTCGACGAGTTGATGAGAGCTATCGCTGGGCCTTTACTCATAAGGAAAAATACCTCCACGTGATGCTTGGTATAGATATGGGAGTTTCTCAAAAAGGGGGTACCCTAGGGACCCCAGGGGATATATAGGGATTATATAGGGATTATGGGGGTCCTTATTAGGGATTGTATAGGGATAATATTGAGAAATACCCATAACATTACGTCCTTATACGATGCATACATACCCCTCGCGATGCACACGGTGAAACCCTTGTGAGCTACAAATCGTTACGCATTCAGTTGGAAGGGCTGCGAGCAACTGCCATCCTGGTTTACCACCAAGGGTATTTAAACCCTAAACCCTAAATCCCTGTAATGTTCCCCCTCAACCTTCAATCCTAAACCCTAAACACCTTTAATCTACCCTCCTTTGGATCCTCATAGGTGAGAAGAGGGCACCTGAGCGCGGGGCGCATCCATCTCAGACTTGATGCGGTCTGACCAGCACCGCTTAAGCAATTATGGCTTGAGATCTTTTTAAGTGCCCTTTTGAATCCGTGTGCCAGTCAAAGCTCCTGCAGGAGCGGGTGGTCCGAGCCCAAAAGATACTTCATCCCCCAAGCTTAGGGTTTAAGGCTTGGAATGTAATGCATAGGGTTTAGGGCTCAGGGTTGGGGGTTGAGGGTTGAGGGGTTTAGATAAGGCCTTGGGTTTTCGGGCCTGGTCTCGGGTTGAGGACTGAGGATGCGGGGGCTTTGGGTGCACCAGGGTGTTGCCGTACAGGGTTTCAAGCTCAGGGCTGTATGCGGGCTTATAGAGCTTAGGGGGTGGGGTCTTGCGTCCGCCTTTATAATATCGGCCGTGAGGGTTCGGGGTTTCGGGTTCAGACTCAACCTCCACTTCCCAGGGGAACCTGCAAACAGCAAGTATGCTGCTACCGTTGATGGACAAAATCCTGCAAACTCCTAAATTCCTAAGCCCTAAGTATACCGGCACTGTGATATATAAAGAGTCATATACGAATTTTGGTCCATCAGCAGTAGGCAGCAGGCATAGTAAGTTGCCATTGAATTTCCCTCTGTGTGTGAGGAATACGCTATATGGAAGTTTCCCTAAATTACTGTTCCCAAAATGGGGGAAATTCATATAGGGCCCCATATTATAATAGGAACCTAAACATAGGACCCCGTACTGACAGTGATTTAGGACAATCCCTGTATGGTAGGTTGCGAAAAAATTGTGGTCGGCTTTCGGGTCCTTGGTGAACAATGGCATCTAATTTTCAGGAAGCCCAAGTATTGACCATGATTTCAGGAATCCTCCCACATGTTGTTGATTTCACTAGCGAAGCCTGCTGCAAAAGCCTAAGCCCCAAACAAACGGTGAGGAGCTGGGTACTTTCGATTTTCTCTGACACACGAGGCCTTTCGAGGATGCTTGAACTGCGTGTACCCGAACCCAGAACCCTGAAACCCTGTGTTAAATGTGGTAGTTCCGAAAGAGATGGACCCCCCAAATACGACACAAAATACCAGAACCCTTGTTATGGGGACCCCTGAGTGAAGCTATAAAGATCCTAAACCCCGAGCACCAAATCCTAAGCCCCTGAAGTCTGCAAACCCAATGCCAGCCTCGCAAGTACATGGTCGGGTTAAGGTTAAGAATTTCCGGTTGCTCTAACACCCAAAGCAGTCACTGGCCCCTCCTAACCTCCAGCCAACAGCTTGCAATTAAACAGGCATACCAAACTCTTACGAAGTGGCAACGGTGCCCTACCCAAATCCCAAACCAAACCCTGTGCCGAAAACCAACAAATCCTGAAACCCAAAGTGCGAATTTGCCCCCCAGGCCTAGGTAGGGCTCCACGGGGAAGTTTGGCAGCTCAGGGTTCGGGATGTTGAAGCACCATCCAATCTGCAAGAATGTCGCGGGAGAAATTCTCAAATTGTTATGCCTCCAGCAGATAAGGACCACTGGAACCTTGTTTAGGCACCTCTTTACGGAACCCCCTACAAGAAGAGGACCCTACACCCTAAACCCTATATAGCCCCATTATGGTACTTTCCACTTGCTTTCCTGTTATCCCTATTTTGCTCTTTAAAACCCTAGAAGAAGAGGTGCAACGTGAGGTCCGGAGCCCCACCGCAACTGCAATCCAAGAATGCGCGAGCCTTGTGTTGTTCTTAGCCCAATGAACTCAAAATTCCGGAATCTTGAATACGCCCTTCTGGCACAGCCTAGGTACGCCAACAACGGGCATGTATGTAGGTATGTCTGTATATATATGTATATGTATATACCTTACCCAAAGTGGTAGGAAATTAGGGAATCGTACACCAAAATTCTACTGCCTTCCCAGGTTTTCGTGAGGCCGTAGACTTGGGCCTTTGAAAGATGAGGGAACCCACCCATGGCCGTTGTATATTATACCATATTATGACATAGACAGCCACCCCGGCGTACGTATACATACAAATATACATATATAATCATATATATATATATCTATCATACCACAACAATAGAGTATGACCCCCCGCTCCGCATAGCCTATCTCAATGAAGCAACCCTACAGTCAACCCAATTACCCAGTTGTCTTCGGTCAGCCATTGTGCCGTGCCGGAAGCAAGTTCTAAGTAGGGCATTGCGAAGGACAGACCGAGTTCTTGAGTTAGAACGGCCATGGGATAGAGTTCAGGTGATCCTAATTAAATCAGCGTGCGGAGTCGCTATATCAAGCAGCTCTTCTGCACTCCTCACCCCCTCTGCTCTTCCATCCTTCTGCTACGCACTAGGACACCTAGAGCTAGCTTTCCTGACCTTAAATCCTGCTAACGCTATAAAGTCGCGAATCCTTTGACGGGAGGGGGAGGGGCTTAGTCATCAGAAGCCAGCACTAGTCACTAGTCGTCCCAACCTCCCCTCGATGCCTCCACAACAACTTGGGCTGACTTATAAAAACACTTCTGACAATGTCTAAGGATGTCAATTAAGACCTCTCTGCAAGATCTCTTGAAGGCGAGCTGATTTCGACACAAGCGAAAATGGCATCGCGGTATTGCTGCTCTACTTCAAAGAGTCACACAGCTGGACAGCAAGTGGCTCGATAATTGGAATCTTGCGCTTGGAAGCACGACATGAAATCTTTCGTTGCAGCTATGCCAGCTGATTGACTCACTGCTTTCGATTTACATATGGGAAACAGGAGCGACGTTGTGCCTGCCAGCAATCTTTTACAATTCTGGCATGTTTACCTCATTCCCTGCAGATTACCCGCAGGGCGCCGGCTGGTGAAAGCCCATGAATCCTGCTAACGACGATCGAGGAGGCACTCAAAAGCTGCCTGCACGACCCATGGTGTGTCATAAACTTGTCGCCATTCCTCCTCGTCGATGGCATCATCATCAAGAATCCGAAGAACCATCTCTTCACACACAAATTTCTTCATTCCCATCCTGGCAGCGACAAGCAGAAGCTTGATGGTAACATCTTCCTTCTTTTTGCGGACAACTTTTTCGATGAGGTCCTGAATCTCCAGCTTCAGCGCCGGAATGTCATACTTGTCGTACCAATGGTGCAACAAGAGGGCCTTCTCGCAAGTCGGCTTGAGTTTTGCCTGGCGCTTGAGCACTGACACAACTGTCAAGAAATCCTTTTGGCTCTCCCCTGCAAGTGGTATAGGTTGCCCATCACCCACTTCAAGCAGTCTCGCTAGCTGCTTGAACTCGGATATGATGCCCATGTTCACTTCCAGCGCTTCGTTTTTGAACTTGACCGTGACCGGCTTCTCCCTAAGCTCCTCGAACAGCTTGATGTCACTGCCTTGATGACTGTGTCAGCGGCTCCATTGGCCATAACTGTGTCACCGTCTTCCTCGACCCTGTCAGCCGCTCTTTTTGCCATACTTGCGCCCTGGAAAGGGATGACACCTTGGCACCCGCTGGCTTGCCAAAACGCTGCGTATCATCCGACAAGCATTGCACAGGAAGCCCTCACCCCTTGAATCCGAGTCATAAGCCCGAATTCCCAAGTCCGGCTTTAAGGCGCTTAGCCACCCCAATCATCCCCAATCTCCTCCAAACAAACATGGAACTCCACCTAGTCCGCACTAGAAGTCTTCAACGTTGTGGGGAAGTCCACTTTTGCCTGTAGAAGGAAATTCCCTCGCTCGAATAGTAATAGTAATCATCGTAATAAATAAAAGTAAAAATAGTGATAGTGGTGAACTTCATAATGGCCAAATCCCTTGCTCGGAGGCCCTGGCCTGATAACCGGCAGACTCAACCATGCGACTCTGCCGCGGGTTGAGCCTGAAGTCTGTGGCTCTCACTCTTGCATGCTTCATCGGGCCGCTTCGAGGAGGTTTTCTTAGAAATCACACTTCAGACTCGAAGGCTTTCGGGTGTGGGCTTTGCGGGTCCATGGCTCGGAGTCAGCCGAGTTGGGGCTGGGAACGTCTCAGGCTGAGGGAAAACGTGAGGACTTTTGAGCTTAGGGATGCTTAGGCTGATGGTTGCTCCAGGCGGAACCAGGGTGAATATATGGACCATAGGCCATATATGGAATCCACTCCCCCATTCCTCCGTAAGCACTAATCACCAGCAAGTAGGGGAACAAGGCTTCCAATGATGTGAAACGTAGCCTTCTCGGCCGGTCTTGTTGTTTCTTGTCGCTGGTTGACAGGACATTCCTGGAATTCTGTTGCTGTAAGACGTGTCCCGTGCTGATTACCAAGGTGGAGGTGAACTTTGAGGTGTAGGGTTTAGGGTCTAATTTCTTGAAGTCCCAGCCTCAAACCCTAAACATCCTAACCTTGGGCAGCGGCTGGTTGCCGAAGCCAGGGCCGATGATGAAGACGCGCGTGGTCTGATTTTGGGGACTGGAGGTTTTAGGGTTCAGAGCTTCGGGGTAGGGTTGGGCTTTCGGGATGAATCTTGTAGCTGGGTCCCAATGGTCATGTGGATCTATGAGGGAAAAACGTGCCTGTATGGGTACACGTAGATCATATAATGTAATATAACAATATGTATATACACATAAATACGGCGCTTAGGGTTCAGTTCATGGGACCTAGTAGCTCCTTATAACTTATCACTGGGCTGGTATTCATGCGCATAATCCCCTTAACTCGAATTATGTCAATTACCCCCCTTGTAAGTAAGCAAGGTTGTAATCTCAGCTGTAGGTAGTCACTAGGTGCGATGTGACTTCAAGTAGAGAGCGTGGCGTTCAGGGGGTGGAGGTTCAGGATGTAGGGTTTTAGGGGGCATGTATAACATATGTATATGTCTGCAGGGTCAGGGGGCTTAGGGTCTAGCTTACTGATTTAGTAGGGAATGAGGTAGCGAAGAAGCACATGGAAGCTACCATGTTACTGGGGATTCGCGGCCACAACCAGCAAGCAAAAGGGTGTGGCTTTCAGAGATTGAGGTTCAGCGCTTTGGAGTGAACGTTTCGGGCATTGGGTTTGAGGTTTAGGGTCTAGGCTGAAGACTCAGAGTGTTAGGTTTAAGGTTACGGGGTTGGGCTGAAGGTGTAGTGAAGGGTTTGTGGTCTTTGGTGAACAGTCACGATGCGCCAACTGGCCTCCGCAGTTCGCGGCAATGAAAGCAACGTAATTGCATGAAGAAAGACTGATACTGTATAACCATAATATAACCCTTATATAACCGTAACATGACCCTGAACTGCAGGGAGAAAGACCATGAGAGTGCCGAGGACTTGCGCTTGAACATCTCAGCTTCAATGACCAGGCTTCCAATAGACAATGCCAGCTAGAATGGTCAAGTGGCCTGTGCTCCCAGCTAAATATTCGGATGTGTAAGCTGCAGATTTAGGCCCATTTAGGCGTCACTACAGTACAGCATAGGTTACGTAGGACCCCACCGGTAAGTAGTGACCACAAGAAATGATGGCACCTATGCTGAGGCCCCCTATACCTTCCTATAACTTCCCATTATACCACTGTCGCCTGGCTGGAGCCTAACCCAAAGTACAGCAAACTGGAAGCTTGCAAGATGCACCCCAGAGAAGACTTTCAAAACCACTGGCACAACTGAACCAAACCTCATTGCCCGGAAGCCTGATCCCAGGTGTTCCAAAGGATGAGCCTTTTCAAGCTTGAACACATCAGCTCAATTAACCTGACGGCTTTCTTCCCTGCCCCTGCTACCTCATGTCTTGCAGTAAGAGTACTGCTTTGCAAGCCTGACAGGGAGCTAGATTTGTGATAAGAGGCTTTGTCACAGCCAAGAAAAGGAACCTAAACTCTAAACCCCAAACCCCATAGAAACGAAAGCTAGCTAGGTATCCCATTACCTGGGGGAGCCCTGTTTGGCATATGAATACTAGGGTTCAGCTGTATCAGGATTTCCTGTGATTTGGGAAGCCCCAAGACACCCTCCTTTACCTTGACAAAACCCAAAACCCAAAGTCCCAAACCCTGAACCCTAATAATCCATAAACCAAAAACCCAAAGTTTCAGACCCAAAGGAACGACAACCTCTGGGACTCCTTGCTGAGCGATTTGAGTTGCTCGGAGGCCGCGGCGTAGCAGCCACTACGGCCTGCACTGATTGGTGTCTAAGGGGGCCATGAATATGTTCCGTTTAGGGTTTAGGATTCGTCTTGTGTCTGGGAGTGTATATTGGGACAATTATGCAGCATTGTATGGGAATGTTATAAGGATCCATTCGCCCACTCTTGCTGAAGCACCAGCAAGACAAGGGTGCTTTTTGCCCAAGGTGCGAAGCGGTGTGGAGCTTCTACATGCTATGGATGGCATTTGGGGGCCCACAGCAAGGGTTGTACTATAATGCTTTACACAAGTGGGACCCCGCCTTTTTTGGAAATACAAATGCATGTAGGATACTTTTCTGGACAATGCAAAGGCTACCTAGGGCTGACATCGCCCTTCATAACAATTAGCTTTCTAGTCTATAGTGTTCTCATTGCAATATGTATTCTTGTGGGGGAGGGGGGTGGGGGGTGTAAACCCTAAACCCTAAACCTTAAAGCTTATTCTCTAAGCCCTAGGTATGAGGAGAAGGGACTTTGGAGCTGTTCTCCCGTTCTCCTTCATGCAATGCTGGTGCCGAAAAGACATCGAATGCATCAACGAAATGGACCCTGCCCCAAGTATCTCCTGGGAGCTTGGGGAATCATCAACTGCAGCAGCTCATCTTACTGGTACTTAAGGAGGAGTGGGGGAGTGAATGTAGGGTTTAGGGGTTAGGGTGGGGCAGTGAATATAGGTACCATTATAGGGGGTATATGGGGATTAGATAGAGTGATTACTATAAGGGATTCGCTCCCCCCCTCCCTTAAGCACCAGGAAGTCTCATTATGTTTGCAGAACTGTACTGAACAGGCTTGGCTACCCGAAGACATGCGCTTCTGCTTTGGCTGCCATCTCAAAAAGCGCTCTAGCTTGTTGCAGTCGCCTTCCGGAAATACTTCTCAAAGTCATTGTAGGTGAATCGCCTTGGACACACATTTGAAGCGAAGTCTGGGTCAAGTTTGCGTCCCTCGCGCTTGTGCCCGAATAGCTACTGACAGACACCTTGCTCGCGACGTGTCAAAACATAATCAAAGCAATAGCAGGCCACAGGTGTGTCCCTGCGGGGCGGTGATTGGGGTATGAAATGACATCTGAAAAAAAAACTCACATCAGAAAGGCCGCCCAGACCTAGATTATAAAAATGTAGCATGAGGTCACCAGGCATGACACAATTTGTGGAGAATCCAAAGCAAGTTCTTACAAGCTGTTAGAGAAAGAAACCTCGAAGTGGCATGCCTGCTGTAATTTCGGGCAGAGACGAAATCTCGGCAAATTCCCATGAATTAAGGGGTTTGTCCTTGTGGCTATACAGTTCACATCAACAAAGACACGGATAACTTACCTGATTTCCGGTTTTCTGGGGAGACGTAGTTCCATAAAGTAGAACACTGGGATAAGAGAAGGCATCCGGGTGCAAGTTCCCCTTGAGGATCTGGGGCTGTTACGGTATGCCAGTTCTTGATCACGCTTAGAGCTAGGCCTTACCCTAAGGGCCCAAGTACCTAACTAGTATGTAATTAGGGCCCAAAATACCTATGTTATAGGAATCCTTTCACCATAAACCCTAAACCCAAAAGCGATTATTTGAGTACGTGGGTCCTTAGGGTAAAGTGTCAACCACAGGTCCGGCCTGCCACACTGACAAGGGCGCCTTATGACCAAATCCTAACTTTACCATCCCTGGTAGAAATCAGAAATTGGGTCTTTGGGTTTAGGGTTTGAGGGTTCCAGGTTTAAGGGTTCAGGGAATGGGGTTTAGGGTCTAGGATGGTTTCACGCAAATAACAGATCTCAAGAACTAGTTGCAAGAAACGTCTAGCTAAACCCTGCAGATGCAACTGGACCCATCTGCTGTCTAGCAGCTTCTTCCCACCTGCGATGGCCTGCGCGAAAAGGGGTGATCAAGCTAAACCCTATAGTCCCCCTTAAGTAGATAAAATATGGCTTTGGGCATATGAGAATAAGATACCCATATACCCCATATTCTATCTACCTAAGGGGGGCCAGAGACCCTTGTCCTCCTTCTTTGAAAGATATCGCGCTTGCGGTAAGTATCTTTGGGGTTATATAGAGCTTATACATATACACAACTCTAGACCACACGCCCATGACCCTAAACCTGTGCCAGGGCCTAGAAGCTTAAACTTTGTATAAACGTTGCGCTTAGGATTTGGGACTTAGGA